ATTGTGCCCACAGTAAAAAAAAATGGCAATAAAGGTTATCATTTGTCCCATTTTGCAACCTTCTTGCCATAGTTATTAAGTGTATCACTGCATTTGTTACTGTTTAGTAACACAGTTGTTAAGTGGTTGGAAATTAAGAACATTGACATTCAATATGTACAGAGGGTGCTCAGTTGAGGAAATTTGGCTTATGTAACATAGTATGCATATAAGTTAGCCAGAACATTAAAGATAGCTTCATCAGCAGAAGTGATGGGATATTGCCCAGAGAAATTTATGCACCTATCAATTAGGCACAACCTTTTAAAAATAATTTATTAAGGGCTGATGCTAAAAAAAAAAAAAAAAAGAGGAGAATGCAGCAGCAGAGGTTTATATAACCAGCACACCTAAGGATACTTGTGTGTGTGTGTGTTTAAAACATCTAGAATGCAATTGCCTGGGCCAATTTCCAGGGCAAGTATGTTTGACTGCTGTGATTTCAAGATCTGTAGTTCTCCTGTTTTCAATGAACTCATTTCAGGCCATGAAACTTCAAAACAATTTTTTTACAGCACAACAAATCATTCTTTAGATTTAATATATTGGTGTGAATGTGGAAAAGATTTTGGGACTTCCATTTTTCTTCCACAGAAAGTCTTAATACAGAAATCAGGGGCTACAATATTTGTAAAATTCACAGGGGATCATCTGGTTTTTGTTTTATTTTGTTTAATTTTTTTTTAAAAAAAGGTATTTTCTGAGGGAAGGGCAAGAACCAAGCTTTGCCCCTGTCGTCTTTAAGTTGCAGATGAGGGTTTCAGATCAGACAATATAGAGAGAGTTTTCGAACTGAAGAAGCTGAAGAAGCTTCTTGGGTGAGAAGCGAAACATCTTCAAAGAAAAACAAAAAAGGCCAGTTGTCTCCTGAAAAAGCATCTTTGGGACAACCATAACCTGAATGACTGAGAATCTCCATAGACTTTCAGACACAACCTTATCACAATTTGTATTTATTCCATATTCTAAGAATGGAAAACCTGATGTAATGAATTTTGAAAGCTACATTAACCTTAATTTTGTCATGCCTTCAGAATCCCAGATCATGTCTTTCTAGCTCCAACAGCCTTCTATTGTTAACAACACCCACTCTTTATTCACGTTAAACAGCAGGCAGCAAAGTATATTTTCAAATCTGATAGACCCAATTCTCCTCTCCTTTGATCTTGTATTTGCCTTACATTTAACTTGGGATGCTTTCTTTTGCATACAAGTTTAGATATACCCTCTGGCCATTGATCAGTTGTCAAAATGGTTATTGTCTGAAACAAAAACAACATTCTAGGTAAAATATTTTAATTACAGAAATTCTATGCAGCAGTGCCAACTTACTTTGTCCCTGCTTGATATATCTTTTGTTTTTCATTCCATGTCCTAACATAGTTATTTTGAAATAACTTACAGTTCATATTTGTTATATGAATACCAGGTATTAATCTTACAATGTATTTTATTCATCATTTCGGTTCGATCTTTAATTTCATTTTTTTTGTTAACATCTTTGTCTTCTGTTCGTTAACCTAATAAACTGCTAATGCTCCAAATTATTTTAATTTATTCATTAAAAGTTTAACTTCCTTTAAAGGGTTAACCAAAACACAACCAAGTAATCTGTGAAAACTCTTAACTAGTATGACTCCTTTTTAATCTTTTTGTCCTCAGTCTTTTAATATTGTCTTATGTCTCTGTTCAATATTTCAAGAACTAAAATAAGTAAAAGAAGGGACAAAGGACAACTTTCTTGTGTTCCTTTTTGTATTTCACATGCTTTGGTTAAATCTGCATTAATGATTATTTGTACCATCTGCATTAATGATTATTTGTACCATCTGTAAAGTATAAATCAATTTCACCCATATAATAAAATTCTCTCCACAATTCCAAAACCAGTTCAAAAGAAAATTCAGTTCCAATTGTCAAAAACCTTCTCTGCATCTAAAAAGATCAAAGCAGTTTCTTTTTTATTATGTTGTTCCAAATATCCAAAAATATCTAACATAGTTCTAACATTATCTTTCAACTAACTTTTAGGTAAAAACCCTAACTGATCCTCATGAATAAATTTTTGCAAAGTTATTTTCTATCTTTCAGCTTAAATTGTTGCAAACAATTTATAGTCATTATTCAAAGATGATACTGTCTGCAATTTCTTGCTGAAGTCAAACTTTGTCCCTCTTTAGATATTAATGTTATATTGGCCTCTTTCTGGGACTCTGGCATCTTTCCTCCCTGTAGAATAGAACCCATCATGTTTTGTAAAAGTTGTAAAAGTTCTTTCCTCAAAACATGTATAATACAAACTTGGTAATGCAGCTGGTCCAGGCACCTTTATTGGTCTATTTTTTCAGTTGCTTCTGAAACTTCCCTTATTATTATAGGTCCCTTTATAATTTATTTGTTTTTTGTGGGTGCTTCATCACTGGAGGTTTTCAAAAATAGATTGGACAACCAATTGACCAGGATGGTATAAGGCAGGGGTAGGCAACCTTGACTCTTTTATGACTCATGCACTTCAACTCCCAGAATTCCTGAGCCAGCATGGCTCAGCTTGGAAACCTCTCCCTTTCCCCTCAGAGTGGCTGGCTCAGGAATTCTGGGAGTTGAAGTCCACGAGTCATAAAAGAGCCAAGGTTGCCTACCCCTGGTATAAGGCCTTCTGCCTTGAGCAAGGGGTTGGATTCAGAAGACCTCTAAGGTCCCTTCCAGCTCTATAATTCTGTGTTCTCTGCCCGTCTGTAATTGTGGCTAAATTCTGCATTCTAAGCTATTCATCTATTTTCTCCAATGGAATATCATATCCGTGTCAAAATTGTGATCCTGTGACCACATGTGTGATAGTTGTGAGTAGTGAGTAGTGGAAGTAGGAGTACAAGTTGTAAGTCACTTATTCACAAGTTTCAACTCTTCTTAAACAAATGGTTATAAGTCGAGGACTACATGTACTTCAACAAATCTACCATATTATTCGTTAATAAAAATCCTGGGTTTAATTGAGGTTCAATGTACAAAATGACTACAATTCTTTTTGTGCTGGAATAAATTCTTTGCTTAAGGTTTTATAGGTTAAATATTTTGTTACACTACATTATAGTATAGTATAGTATAGTATAGTATAGTATAGTATAGTATAATATAGTATAGTATAGTATATTTATACTATACTATACTATACTATACTACACTAATAATAATAATAATAGTAGTAGTAGTAGTAGTAGTAGTAGTAGTAGTAGTAGCAGTAGTAAAGTTGGAAGGGACCTTGGAGGTCATCTAGTCCAACCCCCTGCTCAGGCAGGAAACCCTACACCATTTCGGACAAATGGCTGTCCAGTCTCTTCTTAAAAACTTCCAGTGTTGGAGCATTTACTGCTTCTGGAGGCAGGCTGTTCCACTGATTAATTGTTCTCACTGTCAGGAAGTTTCTCCATAGTTCTAGGTTGCTTCTCTCCTTGATTAGTTTCCACCCGTTGCTTCTTGTCCTGCCTTCAGGTGCTTTGGAAAATTTTATATCTTTTTTTCTGATATAAGTCTCTTGTGGGTAAATGATGTCTTGCTTTATACTTTTTTCAAATAATGAAATATTTTTTTTCTCTTTTGAGGAGCATTTGCTCCATTTATATTCCATGTTAAACTAAACTATATTTCACCCCCAAATTTAGGAAAGTCCATATCTGTAGTGCCTAATTTAGCAATATCTTTATTCCAATTCCTGTTGCCTCTGTGTATTTTCCTCTGAAACCACCATTTCCATCTCCTCCAATTCTCATTTATATCTTTCTTAAAAAAAAATCCCTTCTGAAGGGAATTCAGTCTAAATCTCTATTGAAAGGTAAAAATGATGCCTTCCAATTTATTCCACTGAAATGGAATCCTTTTCTCTTTTACGTTTTTAGTATGTTCTTTTCTCTTACATTGAATCTAATAAGAATCTCTTTCAAAATAAATATGTCTTCAATTTTCATTTTCAGGCTCGTGTTAAAATGCTGCTATGGGACTTGATCTCTTGTCTTCTTTCTAACAAAATGCATCAAAACATCCCCGAGGAAGACTCCCACCTACATTAATGGGGAGGATAAACAAACAGGGGCTTCACTTTTGCAAACCCTTAACTATCTATGCTCCTCTTGGACAGTGTGGGCGATCTAGCCTCAAGGAGGTCAGGAAAGCTGCACTGAATCCCAGTACTTTTTGTATGCCAGAATAAAGTCCATTTTATCATTCTATAAACATATCCAAGTTAATAAAAATGGCACAAAGTTCACATTTGGCATTACAAAACTAAAGTAAACAGATCCCAAATTGCAGTAATAAAATTATCTTAAAAAGGGTGCCAGACTAACAACCTGATTAGAAAATGAACAGCTGTACAGGTTTAGCTTTGCCTCATGCCCTTCAGCCACAGTCAGAAAATGGTGGAACAGCCAAATTTCAGAAGTAGCCCTCAAATATTAGGGCTGATTTGTATGGGGGTTCTGTACCTTTCAGAGATGTAGGCAAAACATTCAGAATGACCCCCTTCAGCACAGAGAGGTGTGTCTACAAACCAACAAAAGTTATTATCCTGCTGCTCACCACGTCTTATTTTCTCGCGATACTCATGGATCTTACCAATAACAAAGTAATAACATGGATTAGCGTGCTTCAAATCACCTACTGAGGTGTTCAATTGCACAAGATATGTATGCATTACTTGTGTGCTGCCTTCATGCCTAAACGAGAAAATGACAATTGAGCTTCATGCTCACTAAAAAGTCCCAGCACAAAAGGCTTGGCTAAATTATCTGGGGGGGGGGGGGGAAGGAGGGTGCAGCCAAAACTACTGCTTCACTAGAGCACAGTGAGGTTGTCCGGTCTGCTGCTATTTAGTGACCCAGAACAATCACTCATTTCCCAGCATAGAGCTAATTCATTTGCAAGATTGAAAAAGAGAAGGGGGCGGGAGGGAGAGAGAGAGAAAAGAAAGGAGGTATTTCTGCACATGTCCATAATGTTGTTCACCACTGGGGGCAGCTTAACATAAGACTGCATTTACTGATACCAAAGCAACAGTCGGAGAAGCTTTCAGAGTGACAGGATGCAGAAGTGAACAGTGCTTGTTCATTGTACCGGGTCATCCTGGCTTCTCTGCTTCAACGCAGCTTCCTTAGCCGGTGGAATACAGATGGGTGAATTCAGACAGCTGAGCGTCACTTGCAAGAACCTCTCAAGCTTTGCACGGGGAGATTTAAAAGAAGCCGAGTCTACAATGTAAAGATTCCAAACCACATCATCCATGAAGACCCTATCACCTAGGAAGAACTTGACTTTCTGCTGCAAATGCTGGTTTGGGATTTATACATTCCTGGGATGTTCTGCATGCCTGGCAAAGGATAAGGATCCAAAATTGGTCCATTTCCCAGGGGGTCCAATTTTGCTTCCTGGGTGTCAGCAAGCCTTGACTCACCAAAGAACAGCTGACAGGGGCTGTCATGTTTGTGGCCCCTAGGAAAAAGCAAAAGAGCTAAAGGACGACCTTTGAAAACACAAAGGATGGGTATGTTTCCGTTTTATTCCTTTCTAGTAAGCCTACAGCTATCCCTGCAATGCTTCTGTATTAATCACTCTGTAGATTGGCCTCTGCAAGCTACGACTGGAGATACATTTCAGTGTGTGATTCAGTTTGACTCTGTCTGGCTTACATGGGTTCTTTCTTTCTCTTTATTAGATTTGTCACCTTAAAATAGCACAGGGGGGCGATGGGGGGAATAAAATAAAACTGCTTGCAAAGTACTTCTTCTGCAGGGGGGGTTCCTCTTTATTCTCGTAGCATTTCTGAGCATGACTGACAAATATTTGGACTGGTTTTTTGGGGGGATAACTTTTCTAAGTTATTTCTGTTTGCAGGTTTCAATGTATTTAGGCTACTGAGCGGATCAGCAGTAGCCCTGGTAATAGCTCCCACTGTATTACTGACAATGCTTTCGTCTGCTGAACGAGGATGCCCTAAGGGCTGTAGGTGTGAAGGCAAAATGGTATATTGTGAGTCCCAGAAATTGCAAGAGATACCCTCCAGTATATCATCTGGTTGTTTAGGTTTGTCCTTGCGATATAACAGCCTTCAAAAACTAAAATACAACCAATTTAAAGGTCTTAATCAACTTACCTGGCTTTACTTAGACCACAATCATATCGGCAGTATTGATGAAAATGCTTTCAATGGAATACGCAGGCTGAAAGAGTTAATTCTGAGTTCCAACAGAATTGCTTTTTTTCTTAACAACACCTTCAGACCAGTAACAAACCTCCGAAATTTGGATCTCTCCTACAATCAGCTGCATTCCCTGGGAGTAGAACAATTCAGAGGCTTAAGGAAGCTGCTGAGTTTACACCTGAGGTCCAATTCCCTGAGAACGATCCCAGTCCGGATTTTCCAGGACTGTAGGAACCTGGAACTCTTAGACCTGGGTTACAACAGGATCCGAAGCCTAGCAAGGAATGTCTTTGCTGGCATGATCAGGCTGAAAGAGCTGCACCTGGAGCACAATCAATTTTCTAAGCTTAACTTGGCACTTTTTCCAAGGCTGGTCAGCCTACAGAACCTTTATTTACAGTGGAATAAAATTAGTGTTATAGGACAAACCATGTCTTGGACGTGGAGCTCGTTACAAAGACTTGATTTATCGGGAAATGAAATAGAAGCTTTCAGTGGACCAAGCGTTTTCCAGTGTGTGCCCAATTTGCAACGTCTCAACCTGGATTCCAACAAGCTCACATTTATTGGCCAAGAGATTTTGGATTCCTGGATATCTCTGAATGACATCAGCCTTGCTGGGAATATATGGGAATGCAGCAGAAACATTTGTTCCCTGGTAAACTGGCTTAAAAGTTTCAAAGGGCTGAGGGAAAATACAATTATCTGTGCCAGCCCCAAAGAACTGCAAGGGGTGAATGTTATAGATGCAGTGAAAAATTATAGCATCTGTGGCAAAAGTACGACAGAAAAGTTTGACTTGCCGCAGGCTCCCCCCAAGCCCACCTTTAAACCAAAGGTCATCCGGCCTAAACATGAGAGCCAGCCCCCCCTGCCCCCCACCACGGGGGCCCCTGAGGCCAGCTCCATGCCCGAGCACAGCACCCAGCAGATCTCCTTCCATAAAATCATTGCTGGGAGCGTGGCCCTCTTCTTGTCCGTGCTTGTGATTCTGCTGGTCATCTACGTGTCCTGGAAGCGCTACCCTGCCAGCATGAAGCAATTGCAGCAACGCTCCCTAATGCGACGGCATAGGAAAAAGAAACGACAGTCGCTGAAGCAGATGACTCCCACCACCCAGGAATTTTACGTTGACTATAAGCCCACCAACAGCGAGACCAGTGAGATGTTGCTGAACGGGACGGGACCTTGTTCGTACAGCAAGGGAGGCTCCAGGGAATGTGAGGTAGGAACCACTCTCATATTTTTAAATGATGTTTGGGTCGAACTTCTTTTACTTTTCAGGGACAACACTGTCATATCAGGTGTCCTCCAGTCAGTGCAGGTTAGCCTTTCCCTTCACAAGGAACCCTGTGAAGTCTGACCTCGGGTTTACCCAGCCTCTGTTGTGAGGCCACTTTACTCATTTTAATCCGTTTGACTGTTTTACCCACTGACAGAAAACTTTTCTTGCACACCTAATACATCTGCAGTGCTGGGTCCATGTTTTCCATTCAAACATGGAAGGGTTTCTCCCCTAAATTTATTTGCAAAGATAAGGATGGGGAAGAATGGTGCAAAAAGTAAACAGAGTGCTGAAATTCACAACATACTTCAAGGGCAATCTATAAATGCCTGGTGTGCTGTAGCTTCATATACATTCCAGGACTTGCTTTGGCTTATGAGGGTGCAGGCATCATCCTGGGAGAATGCCTGATTTCTATCTAGTGCAAAGTATCTAAGAAGCCTGGTTTTAAAGCAGCCTCCAGAGCCATCCAGGGTGGGAGAAAGGGGAATCGGTGGGTTGAACGAAGAGGGGTGGGAACCATACATTTCATAAGGAATAAAAGAAGGGGTGGAACGGAGTAAGATTCATTGTGCAGCTCTAGCACAATGCAGTTTGCAGAACTAATAAGTTCTAATTGAAAACTGTCTGTGTGGTTTTAAATCAAAGATGCTAGTGTGTCTCCCTTCTCAAAGCCCATTTTCCTTTCAGAAAATAATCAAAAAGGCATTCATTAAAAGAGGGGGTCCAAATTCCTTACTAAAGCAATTAGAGGAGCTGAAATGTACAGTTGCAACAGCTACAGCCACTTCCGGCATAGACTTGCTCAGTAGCTCATTAGATATTCTGTTTTCATCTGTGTCAAAGACATTAATGTGATTGACGATGGAGTCCTTAAATCTGTCATTTTTCTTCCTTCAAAAATGCAACTGTTGTCTTCGGTGGTGTTTCATTATGCAATGTGCCATTTTGGGTATTTAGAAAGCTGATGGAGCTACATTTTAAATACAGCACAGCAACAGGGAGAGCTTGCAGGGAAACTGGACCCTTGCCAATCTAAGGGAAAGCACATCTGAAGGATTCTCTTTAGGAAAAGTCAAGGGATCAATAGGCAAGGCAAAGGAGGAAGGGATCAATCAATGCTGAATCACATTTTATAGATGTGTTTTATTTATCTTTCAGTGTATTTGTGATGGGAATCATGATAGGCACTGATAATTCCATCTCATATTGCTCTGAGAATATATAATGCACTAGTATCTCCTCTTGACATTTTCTTACAAATTACGGTCAATGAGTCCCTTGCAGAAATAGTTTTATTTATTTATAATAAGTGGTAAAGAACTTCACTACCTCTATTGCATAACTTGATTTAGCTTCGTACGCTGCCCATTTCTGACCACTTGGGAGAGGGGGGGGTTTCTATAAAGCAGATGCACTGCAGCAATCTAGAGGGGAAAAAAGCATCCATATTCTCCTCGCCATCCCTGATTTTTCTGGGAAAAAAATAAATAAAATCACCCAAAATGTTCCAGCAAAGTGAACATTTCAGGTAATAAAATGGCATTTTTTTAAAATGAGAAAACCTGGAAAGGAAGTGAGTCTCCTTCATAATATGGAACATACATTCATTGAAAGCTGAGAATCAAATAATTCAGCCAAATTAACCAAATATGCATAGATCACTTTATACAACACATGTGATTTTCTAATATTTTTATAACCTTTCTGAAATACATATAACAGGACCATAAATATATAGTGTTTCATCAGAGGATCAACATGTAACTAAATGTATATATTCACCTTGGCTTATATTGTAAAAATCTGGAACACTAAATATATCTATGTACCCTGTATGAATCAATGATAACTCCACTAGCCATTTTTATTCAAAATGCAAAATAATGATAATACTATCAAGAGTGATGCACTAAAAATATTCTGCTAGCTTTTGATTCTTGATTTGCATTAATTGCATACTTCAGCATACTTGGCAGAGACTATTTTGATACGAAAACATGGCAATATTTTTCCCAAGTCTTTCCATTATGCTGAAAAGCAAATGTGGGGAGTGACTTTGAATATAGTATATTTTTGAAGGAAACACCTCATTGGAATAGGCCTGTAGTCTCCTGTGCAGAAAAATCAGTGGAGAATAATGTGCCATTTGAGAAGTTGTCAGAGGTGGGAGGGATTTTTAAAAGAAAACTGATGAGAACAATGTCAAAGAGTGGAATATTAATGTTAATAGCTCTTCATCCTAACAAGGCAGAATTAATATAGGAAAAATAATACCCAGGCATGTAGAAAGTCAATTAACTGTATTTTCACTGGAAGGACTTCTTGCAGACTATTTAGATATGCAGATGAGTGTGTTATTATGGCTACAGCTCTCTTAAAAAAGAAACTGCTAGCTGTTTGTGCAGCTTCTACCAAGCCCTGCCAATAAACTCGATCTACAGAATTTTTAAAACAAACAACATTTAATAAAATTGGATCCAGGTGCAAAAAACTGAAGATAATGCTTTAATTCATTATGTTGTGTAGCAGGCAAAAAGTAGCCAATGGTTTCCATACTGTGTCTTGCCAAGATGAACACAGCTCTCTTTCATATAGCTTTCATAGTAGGCACCAGAAGGGATTCTGGCAGGTAACTGCTTGACACAGGGAGATGGAGAAGTGCACTTCAAATCCTCTTGTATCAAGCAAAATAATATCTGGAAATCTTGAACTGTTTTGCACAACATCACCCTATGTTTATTAAAATGTAATTAAAGTTCTCCTGGCTCATTAATGGGGATGATGGACACACATCTGCTATATTTTGGCGGATACAAGCATTATTACAAAGCCATTCTTTCCTCATGGAAAAAAATGGCTCCCTGAAAGATTGCAAAAATCACAAATATGGCAACAAAAGGCTATGGCAAATGCATTTTGGTTGACAAGCAGTGGTTTCAATGCATTTATGTAAATTTGTAGGGGAACACTTACACAAGATATGTGATTATATATATTGTTAATGGTAGGAGAAAAAAAATTAAGATACAGCACTGTTTCTCAACCTTGTTGACTTTAATACTACTAGAGTTCAACTCCCAAAATTCCCCAGTGGGGCTTTCTGAGACTGAAGCCCACCCATCTTAATGTCACCAAGATTGAGAAACACTGAAATAGAGAAATACTTTTATGACAAATCCACTAAGATCAGACTTCAGCAAACAAATGGAAATTTTTTAAAGGGGAATAGAACTAATACGTTCAGAAGAGAAAGGAAATTATAAACAGATATAAATCTATTTCAAAGTCTTTAAGGTATCAATTGCCAAGCAGAGACAAAATTTACACACAACTCATTATCAATCTGGAATTAATGCAGAATAAATGAAAATTAAAGGGTAATTGACTAGACCAGTGGTGGCGAACCTATGGCACATGTACCAGAGGTGGCACTCGGAGCCTTCTCTGTGGGCACACGTGCCATTGCCCCAGACTTGCCTCCCCGCGTGATCCCCTCCTCACCAGCAGCCTCCCTGGAGAAGAGTCGCCCCCGAGTGTGGCCCACACGGAGCAGCACAGTCAAGGACATGGCAGCCAGGCAGCGTAGACAAGACTCTGCCCTCATGCCCCATCGTGCACAGTTGATGCTGCAGGGCGCTGGCATAGGCTGTGGCCACCAGGGCACTGATGGGCTGCCTGGACGATCTGCAGTGGACCCTGGAGGCAGTGAGTGGCCCTGCGGGCAGGCGGGGTGGGGGTGCAGCAGGGGCGGGGCCAGTTTTTGGGCACTCGGTCTCTAAAAGGTTCGCCATCACTGGACTAGATCCAATACTGCTTGGACTAATAAAGTCTGTTATAGGCTCTTCCGAGAAGTTTTTCCTCATCCCACTCACTGTATAGGTTCAAAAATCTTCAATAGCCCCTTGCTTCAATCATTTATTTTCTCCTTCTTGTGGAGATTTTTTCCTAGTCTGATGTAGTGTGTCTGATTCATAATTAGTAAGGACAAATATTTGAACAAACTCTCTCAAGTAAAATGTCAAGGAAATTGTATTCCGTAGTATACCAAGAATATGATTTACAAACAGAGGAATCGCAAAATATGGTTTAAAAAAAAGTCGAGAAGACCGATGTGATGATGCAACTGACAATCTGTCAGTTGTACCCCTTGCCCCCTTCAGCATGGGAACACTACCATTGACGCAAAAAGGAGGAAAACTAAGTGCTGAGTGAAATGAGAAGCCAGAATTAGTCTTTCCCCCATTTCCAACTTCTGATGCACCTTTCTCTCACACACCCCATTCTCTCTATCTCCCAACACTTTAGGAAAGAGGAGCTAAGTCATACCAAGGATCTAAAATTGCCTGGAGAGGCTTCTTGAGCTAGGGCAAAACACATAGGTTGCATGGATTTAGGATGTCCATCTTTTACTCTAAGGACCAAAAGATCCTTTTTATTTGTAAATTAGGAAATTGATGGAATCTCAGTTGACTTCATAGAATGGTATGGAAATATCTTCCTCTTCATGTGATTCTACATAGCTCTATTTTTAAGAGGAATAATTGGCCCAAATCTTATTCAACTAGAAGCCAAAACTACTCCAGGGCTACTACTTATAAAACATGAACAAAGCTTCAGTCTTAAATGCTTTAGGACAAGGGTTTTCAAAGTTGGGCCTTTTATGACTTGGGGACTTCAACTCCCAGAATTCCTCAGCCAGGCACACTGGCTGAGGAATTCTGGGAGTTGAAGTCCACAAGGCATAAAAGGGCCAAGTTTGAAGACCCCTGCCTTAGGATATAAACTAGCTAGAAATCCCATTCCTTCAACTCTTTCATGAGCTCCCACATGTCTTTTAGCCCTTCACTCTTGTATTCCTACTTGGCCCACCAGATAGATTGGATCTGCATCTCCACAGGTGGTCTGCTCAAGGAGGAGAAAATCTGATCTTGGATACC